TTAAACTGAACTTACTCAGCAGCTTTTATTCCCTCCCATGTTGAACTAAGTTTTATGAGTATTCTTTCTCGACCAATGTCATCTTTCTCGTACATTGCAATCAAACGTCGAGCCTTCTCTATTTGTCCTTCCTTGTCAAATGATAGTCTGAAAATATGAAATAATAAAATACAATAAAATGTTGCTTTGTATATTGTATTTAAATATCAATAAAGCAGACATATGTTGCTGTATTAAATTTCATAGGTATACGGTATATCTACCTGGCATCAACCTCAGTTGAAACTCGTCCAGGGACAATTTTGAGAATCTCTTTGCCAAACAATACATACTATAAGAACAACAGCATTTAAATATTTTGATAATCATCAAGACATTGACAACGTCAGTATGTTTAAGTTTCATGTCTGTGTATTAAGTGGACATTTCAACACATACCAACATATCCATAGTTGCCTCAACTTGTTCATTTTTGTCCCTATACACAGAACAAACTTACACATCAAATTACATACTTTGTTATAACCATGGATAATAAAATAAATGGATTGGAAACTTCTGACGTCATTGACTGCATCCTTGTTGAAAAACGTGACGTCACGCGTATTGCGAATGTTACCAAAGTTCTCGGCATATTTGTTGTTTTGCTATATTTTTCACTTTAAAAGGGTGATCTTGAAGCGTAAACTGGTCTAATTGTTTTACAAACATGCCTAAGCCACGACAAAGTATTCAAGGTAAATGTTTTTCGTCTTTGTTTTGTATTTTTTTACATTTGTAGCTACGAAATTGGCGTCACAAATTTTAACGAAATTTGCGATGTATTTTTCACTGTTTAGTGCTTGAAATATTTGCTAAAACCGACCGGGAATACTTAGAGTTTTCATCGTAGAATGGCGTGGTTACATTTATTTGCTCTTTGACTAAAATTTTTAGCTGTATTATTGCTAAACATGCCGTTTTTGAGAATTTGATTTTCAACTAGGTTGAGGCATCCAACCACGCCATCAATCCCAGTAAAAACATTAGGTCACGTCAGCTAGTTTCATATCCATTTATTTTATTATCCATGTTATAACACAAGACAATTTTACTGGCTGTGGGCTAAGTGTGGGTGTTAATTTGACTATCATCAGAATACACTTTACTCATTACTGTGTAAGAAAGCTTTGCAGAAATAGCGAGGCTGTGCAAGAAACAGCACAATTTTGGCAGACCCTCTGCCTTATTCAATAGTCTGCTGGCAGGGTAGGAAATTATGTAATATTCAAATGAACTTGACTAAATCTGTACAGTTTTGTCTACAAATTGCATTTTCAAATCAATATCATATAAATTGTTTGTATTTCTCATTTCTGTAGAAAACCTTATAAATAAAGCTATAAATTGAATATAAACAAAAATATTGCAATTTAAAATTGGCGTAGTAAACTGCTCATATATTACATTATGTATCCATAAATTGACACCCCACATTTGCACAAATCTGCAACAATTTTTAAGTAAAAATGTACAATATTTCAACTTACTGAGAGCTATTCTTCCCGTGTTTTATAGCTGCGTCCAAAATGTGTTTATACTCCGGCATTTTTGAAGCCGCTAAGAGCAAACTTGGGTTCGTTGTGGCATCAGTGGGTTTAAATTGATCAATAGCTGCAAATGAATTTATGTCAAAAATGTCATACTTTTGACGGGTTTTTTTTTAGTAAAATAAAGCAAAGGACAATACCTTTAAAATCTCCAGTATCTGCAACCACTATTGTATGTTGTTTTAGTTGTTCGAGAGATGTAGCCATTGTGAAATTAGGTTAGAAAATTTCGAGTTTTTGCGAGGATGTGTTTTGCTACTTTGCCACATAAACAGGAAGTGAAAGAGAAGTTCGAAGGAATTGACCGCGTTTCCTTGATGAGTTTGGTAACGAGTTACCTGCCTCCGCTCCAGTGCTTCACTTCATGTTAGAGATCAGTGGTTCGGCTGTGCGGGCAATGCAAGCCCGACAAAGGAGCCCGCCCGCATGATAGGACGAGCGCAAAGTGAGCAACTGGGGAGGAGGACACTGACAGATTAAATTACAAACAGACAAACTGACTATATGAACTAACAGATAAACAAACAAACAGCTGAATGACAATAAATACAAGTCATTTCAATGTGAGAGGATATTTATAAATCACATACTCGTTCGATACAATCATTGTTTGTTTTGTCAAATTGTCAATACAATCAATCAGACGCAATCTCACAAAATACATTCAATGTCTACTCTTCGATGAAAGAAATTCATTTCATTTTCACACTGTCTGAGACACCAGACATATTTTTGCCCATTATCATCAACTACCCATTGGATAGGTTCATTCACCCCCATTACCCCCAATGTTCCCAAAAATGTTCCCCAGATGTCCTTCAGTTTGCAAAGACATGTCCCATCGGTATCCAAATGTTCTTACACTCGATTGCATGATAGTGAAACTCTTGACCTTGACCTTGTTCATTGTCCAACCAATCACGTGATTCACCATAGCCCACCCACGTGCGTTTCACGTTCTCTGCCGAGACCGACTCAACAAATTTCGATCCTTCTGCAGATCCGAAGTACCACATCGCGTCGACATTTTGATGCTCCGCAATGAACTTGGTCACATGATCACGGTCACCAGTCAAAATATTTACCACTCCCCCCGGGAGATCTGACGTGTCGAATATCTAAGTATGGGTAAATGTCTGTTAGAGGCCTGTACAAGACGGGGATGGTAGTGACACAGTTATTTTAATTTCACCACAGTTGCACGCGAGAAGAGTGCTTCCGTTTGATTCTACTAAATATTGCAGGTTTTCTGTGGTTTCTTCCTGCAGTAACACTGGATCAATAAGAGATGATCTCTAGTAAGAGATCCAGTAAGGATCTCTTACTAGAGATCCTTACTGGATCTCTAGTAAGAACAGTTTAGAACTGATAGAGCTATCCAGTATAAGTAAAGTTAGTTTAGTTTAGGTTTTCTCCTGTGCACAGTAACACTGGATCAATAAGAGATGATCCAGACTGGACCTCTAGGAAGAACAGTTTAGAACTGATAGAGCTATCCAGTATAAATAAAGTTAGTTTAGTTTAGGTTTCCTCCTGTAGTAACACTGGATCAATAAGAGATGATCGTTACTGGAACTCAAGGGAGAACAGTTTAGAACTGATAGAGCTATCCAGTATAAATAAAGTTAGTTTAGTTTAGGTTTCCTCCTGTAGTAACACTGGATCAATAAGAGATGATCCTTACTGGACCTCTAGGAAGAACAGTTTACAACTGATAGAGCTATCCAGTTTAAATAAAGTTAGTTTAGTATAGGTTTCCTCCTGTAGTAACACTGGATCAATAAGAGATGATCCTTACTGGACCTCGAGGAAAAACAGTTTAGAACTGATAGAGTTATCCAGTATAAATAAAGTTAGTTTAGTTTAGGTTTCCTCCTGTAGTAACACTGGATCAATAAGAGATGATCCTTACTGGACCTCGAGGAAAAACAGTTTAGAACTGATAGAGCTATCCAGCATAAATAAAGTTAGTTTAGTTTAGGTTTCCTCCTATAGTAACACTGGATCAATAAGAGATGATCCTTACTGGACCTCGAGGAAAAACAGTTTAGAACTGATAGAGCTACCCAGTATAAATAAAGTTAGTTTAATTGTGAGGCACTGACCTGATACATGTCCGCTCCAACAATAGGATGTTTTTCACTGGGTAACACCACCACTGTATTTCCTCGAGAAATGGCGGGCAGTACCAGAGATACAAAGGCCAGAAGAGGAAACTCATCTGGACACGCGATACCAACTACACCAACTGCTTCGTGAACTTTAATGGTTGTACCATACCAACTTGTTTCCTGTCAGATAAATAGGGATGACAATATGTTGACATTATGTTGGTGATGCACTGGTTAGTGTAATCCATTTTTCTCCCGAAGTAACACTGGAATAAAGAATAACCATACTGGAGAGAACAGTTTAGAACTAATAAAGCAGATTAAGTCATTGAACACAAGCATTCTCACCTGCACCGTTCCACCGTATTTATCAGTATACGCAGCCCAATGAAACACACGTTGTATAGCCACTTTAACTTCTTTCTCTGCTTCATCAGCATCCTGTCCCGTCATTACGCAAATCCTCTGCGCAAGCTCTTGCTGACGTAATTCCATATTCTCCGCGATGTAGTAAAGAACCTGGGCTCTACTGTGGCTCGATTTCTTACACCATCTGAGAAGAAAAACTAACTTTGAACATCGAAGTGTTTTAATCTTTTCAAGACAGATAGTTCAGACACAAACCACGACAGCTTATGGTAGAATACTGCCTACACTGGACCACCACGTTTGAGATATATTTTTCAGGTAGTTCAGACACAAAACACGACAGCTTATCGTAGCATACTGCCAACAGTGGACCATGACGTTTGAGATATATTTTTCACGACAGGTAAATCAGACACAAACCACGGTAGCTTATTGTAGAATACTACCTACACTGGACCACCACGTTTGAGATATCTTTTTCAGGTAGTTCAGACACAAACCACGACAGCTTATTGTAAAATACTACCTACACTGAACCACCACGTTTGAGATATCTTTTTCAGGCAGTTCAGACACAAACCACGACAGCTTATTGTAGAATACTACTTACACTGGACCACCACGTTTGAGATATATTTTCCAGGTAGTTCAGACACAAAACACGACAGCTTATTGGAAAATACTACCAACATTGGACCACGACGTTTGAGATATATTTTTCACGACAGGTAAATCAGACACAAACCACGGTAGCTTATTGTAGAATACTACCAACATTGGACCACCACGTTTGAGATACCTTTTTCAGGTAGTTCAGACACAAACCACGACAGCTTATTGTAGAATACTACCAACATTGGACCACCACGTTTGAGATATCTTTTTCAGGTAGTTCAGACACAAACCACGACAGCTTATTGTAGAATACTACCAACATTGGACCACCACGTTTGAGATATCTTTTTCAGGTAGTTCAGACACAAACCACGACAGCTTATTGTAGAATACTACCAACATTGGACCACCACGTTTGAGATATCTTTTTCAGGTAGTTCAGACACAAACCACGACAGCTTATTGTAGAATACTACCAACATTGGACCACCACGTTTGAGATATCTTTTTCAGGTAGTTCAGACACAAACCACGACAGCTTATTGTAGAATACTACCAACATTGGACCACCACGTTTGAGATATCTTTTTCAGGTAGTTCAGACACAAACCACGACAGCTTATTGTAGAATACTACCAACATTGGACCACCACGTTTGAGATATCTTTTTCAGGTAGTTCAGACACAAACCACGACAGCTTATTGTAGAATACTACCAACATTGGACCACCACGTTTGAGATATCTTTTTCAGGTAGTTCAGACACAAACCACGACAGCTTATTGTAGAATACTACCAACATTGGACCACCACGTTTGAGATACATTTTTCACGACAGGTAAATCAGACACAAACTACGGTATTAAATTAGCTTATTGTAGAATACTACCAACATTGGACCGTCACATTGTAAAATACATATTAGTTTCACTACATTACCCAGCAGAAGCTTTCTTGGCAGCTTCGACAGCGTCTCTGACATCCTTTCTGTTGCTTTCAGCTACGACACCCACTGTCTGTCCTTTCTCGTTATGTACAGGTCTTCCGTAGTGTGCGTCAGGTCGCTTTTGAGCGCCGCCAATGTAGTTTTTGTATGTGTGATCTATGCTACAGTAGAGGGAATATTGACCCAGTGTTAACTTTATTTATACTGGGTAGATCTATCAGTTCTAAACTGTTCTCCCTAGAGATCCAGTAAGGATCATCCCTTATTGATCCAGTGTTACCACAGGAGGAACCTAAACTAAACTAACTTTATTTATACTGGATAGCTCTATCACTTCTAAACTGTTCTTCCTAGAGATCCAGTAAGGATCATCTCTTATTGATCCAGTGTTACCACAGGAGGAAACCTAAACTAAACTAACTTTATTTATACTGGGTAGATCTATCAGTTCTAAACTGTTCTTCCTAGAGATCAGGCAAGGATCATCTCTTATTGATCCAGTGTTAATACAAGAGGAAACTTAAACTAAACTAACTTTATTTATACTGGATAGATCTATCAGTTCTAAACTGTTCTTCCTAGAGATCCAGTGAGGATAATCTCTTATTGATTCAGTGTTACTATAGGAAGAAACCTAAACTATAAGATAAGTTCTAAACTGTTCTCCCTAGAGGTCCAGTGAGGACAATTCATACCTGGGCAAGTTATCGCTTTTGTCCGTGCCGTTACACAATGGTGGGTTGACAGTAGGATCTTTGGGTCTCGGAGGTGACGTGGAACCAAACTTCTTAATATCAAAGTCATCCACATTTGGTCGTGCACGCTTTTGCCACGAGGGTTTCACGTACTCATACAGACCCTGAAGAGAATGGTACCGATCATATTATGTAGAAAGGTCAGACATATATTTAATAACCCCCCCCCCCAGGTTACTTTCACCCACCTCCTTGCCTCCATCTCTGCCAAACCCGCTCTGTCTCATACCCCCAAAACCAGCACCAGCATCAAACATATTATGACCATTAATCCAGACACTCCCGGCACGTATATAGCGAGCTACTTCCATTGCTAGACCTATGTTCTCACTCCAAACACTGGAACCAAGACCATATATCGTGTTGTTGGCCAGAGCGATCGCTTCCTTTGCCGTACGAAACGTTAACACCACTAAAACTGGACCAAACACCTAGAAAGTATTGGTAATACAATCAATACAAACTTTCTCAGGCAGCAAAAATAATCAACTTTATTTATACTGGATAGCTCTATCAGTTCTAAACTGTTCTTCCTAGAGGTCCAGTAAGGATCATCTCTTATTCGGATCCAGTGTTACTACAGGAGGAAACCTCAACTAACTTTATTTATACTGGATAGTTCTATCAGTACGTTCTAAACTGTTCTTCCTATAGAGGTCCAGTAAGGATCATCTCTTATTGATCCAGTGTTACTACATGAAGAAATGCGGAGTACTTGAGCTGGAAACACTCTACCGTCAAAGAGTTGTGTTGGTTATATCACCTCTTCTTGAACAATTCTTGACACAGGTTGAACATTTGTGACGAGTGTTGGAGGATAGAAACACCCAGTGTCTGGCATGGAAGCACAACTTTGGAACACCTCGGCCCCAGTACTTTTCGCATCTTGTACAAACTCATCAATGGATTTCTTTTGTGATGGATCCACAATTGCTCCCATGTCAACACATTTATCCAGCGAGTTCCCTAGCCTGAGGTGCGACATGCGTTCTTTGATTTTCTTAATGAGCTGCTCTGAACAACTTTCTTGTACAATCAGACGAGATCCGGCGCTGCAAACCTACACAGTCGTGGAAATTGGGACAGACGTTAATTAGTGGGTTTCCGTAAGCCTGTGCTTTGGGGCTCCTGGTTCTCAGGTTTTCCACCATGAACAAAAACTAACTCTTAGTTGTCAAGGAGTGGTGATGTTTTTCATGAAAAGTGATTGACACTGTCTCTGATTGCCTTGTAAATTTACTGCTCCATATTATTCATCATATTTCAATTGACATTTGAGTTTAGAGCCCCCAAGACTATGCAGGCATGGCTCTCTAACCCTAATTTCTGCAGCCATATCATGCCCTGTGTGAATTATATGTTTACTGTGAAACTTCCAAACAGGTTACTTGTTCTATTACCTGTCCTTGGTTAAACCATATTGCATCCACAACACCCTCAACAGTACTGTCCAAGTCAGCCGAGTCAAAAACAACAAACGGAGATTTTCCACCCAATTCAAGAGACAGTTTCTTCCCAGTACCAGCAGTGAGACGCCGCAGTGTTTGGCCAACCTAGCAATGACAAACTGAGACTACTGAGTTTCAGTACATTTTCACGCCACAGGGTTGGTCATCAACTTACCTCAGTGGAGCCAGTGAATGCAATCTTATCAACATCATTATGACAAACAATGTGACTTCCCAAACTGCCACTACCTGTCACAACATTGAACACTCCAGGGGGTAGGCCAGCCTCGGCACAGATCTCGGCAAACAGTAACGCAGACAGGCGCGTGTATGTGGCAGGTTTCAGGACGACCGTGTTTCCCATTGCCAATGCTGGACACACTTTCCAGCACAGGAGCATGAGGGGGAAGTTCCAGGGGACAATCGCGCCAACCACACCAATTGAAGACCAATCTGTAGCAACGAGGATAATACACTAACTAATATGAAACTCGTGGGAATCGAACCTATGACCTTTGGAATACTAGCCCAATGCTCTGCAACTGAGCAGGTCATTTCGAGTGATATTTCGGAGCTGAGTCTAGTTCCTTCGATATCAATGCAATCTAGTAATCATGATTTGATCAGGCCAGAAGGGGATAATCTGCAATACAGACTGACAATGCATCAAGAGGGGGCCATTGACCCTCAACTATTACCAAAACCTGGGATAACTATAACCCAGCCACCAGGCTAACAAGCAACATACCTTTCATCTCGGTATCCATGAGTTCAGCCCAGCCGGCATGGTGATACAAATGTCGGATAACGATAGGTATATCGCAATCTCGGGATTCCCTTATTGGCTTCCCGTTATCCATGCTTTCGACAACTGCAACCAATCTCATGTGTTTCTGCACATGACGAGCAATGCTGTATAAGTAACGAGCTCGGGCATGTCCTGAAAGTTTACCCCATGATTCAAACGCTTTACGAGCTGCTGCAATTGCCATGTCCACATCTTCTTTTTCACCCTGGGTGGTGGACGCTATTTTTTCACCTGATGTAAAATTTTAGAAAATATTTGTAGATGCACAGACTTTTTCATAACTAATGCCAGGTGTAGCTGGGAGTTAATTGGTTCAGGAGTTATCTCCTTTATGGAGCATTATTTGACAAATAGATTTGGGGACTGTAGACTTGCTCCACTGAATGTAGACTTGCTTCATGTCTCTCTTTCATTGTCATATAGTGTCGATCCACTATAGTGTACATTACATGACGTATCACAGAGAGGCGGAGCGAGAAAGAGAGACTTGTCAACTACGGAAAATCTCGGTTCAAAACTGAACCGAAAATGCAAGACTTGCTTTGTCTTCTGTCAGTGTTTATATGTATTGATCTAGCACAGTGTAAATGGGTCATTCCAGAAATTCATACCACCCCCACAGAGGAAATTGGAAGTTAACCCCCCTACCCCCTTTGGATGTCCTAATACATTTACTTTTATCAGAAACAATTTTGTCTCCCCTCCCCCTCCGGACAGCAGAAATTTCCTCCGTGGGGGTAGTGTGGATCTTTTTTGGAACAACCCAAAAACACAAGTTCCATTATAGTAAATAATACAGAAAGAAATTGAAGGAAAACAATTGAAGCAAGTCTTGCATTTTCGGTTCAGTTTTAAACAGAGATTTTCCGTAGTTGACAAGTCTCTCTTTCTCACTCCGCCTCTCCATGCTACGTCATGTAATGTACACTATTATAGTGGATCGATATGACAATGAAAGAGGGACTTGGAGCAAGTCTACACTGAATGAGGTACCAGACTGCAAAGTTGGTCAGAGTTGCCCCCAAATTGTTTGAGGGAAACATTTTAGCAGCCCTGAGAAGTATTTGATATAAACAATTTTCGAACTCAAATCTGCCACAGATTTCCAAATTTCATTGTTGAATATCTATTTGGGATCTTTTGTGTCCCCGACTGATGAACCCTTGGAAACTGTTTTGTGCCCCTGCCCTAGGTTTTTAGCCTTTGCACACCCCCCCCCTCCCCCAAGATTTCCATATTCTTTGAAAAAGAGAAACATTTTTGGGGTTATATAAACACTATTAGGCCTAAGCATTGTAAATTAATGGAAGTGTGGGCAGTGGGTTCACAGTTTGAGTCTGCCCCCCTCCCCCTGGTTGTAAAGGCCTTAATTTGCTACATATATAAAATAATTGACACGCGTTACAACATTGATACAAAATTATATCATGCTGATATTCATGCTTTTTACACAAACTGAAGCAAAACTCCGCAATAACACACCTGTTGCTGGATTCTTAGTTTCATAAACCTTCCTTCCCTCAGGTTTTACCCACTTGCCATCAATAAAATGCCCAAAAGCTCGACCATGATCGTCTAGCCAGCCTTCTGCAGGCATACTAGACTCAGGAGCTGGGCCGTAACTTAAACTTTCGAAAATGTCAGAAACTGTGCTTGCTGTCTTCTTACTAACACTTGCAGACAAATCTTGCGTTTCTTCTACAACTACTGTACTAGTTTTGGACATATTTATGCATTAAAACTCAAATTTTTCACACAATATTTTGTACAGAATTTTTGTTCAAAGTTGTACACTTGGCAGTGTGTTTCCAGTTCCTCAAAACAACTTCCTTGCAGCGGATTAAAAAATTTCCTAAATTTCCTTTTACTGTAAATGGAGCATTTTGACAATTCCAACGCCATCTTAATAAACATAATGCATTGTGGTCTATCCAATAAAATTTGATTTTGCAACAAAAAAAAATGAAAAAAATATTGAAAACAATGAATCAGTGTTATGTTATGTTATGCCAAGGACTATATGCCTCAAATTTGAGTGTCAAAAATTGAAGAAACAAGTTAAACACAACTCATAAAATTGCAGATATTAAATTCATTAACATAAAATGTTACAGTGTGCGTAATATTATTATTAATTAGTTAAAGAAATTTATTATTGTAACTCGAGAAATGCTCGAGAATACGACTGAAGTGGTCAGTTGATCTATGAGTCACTTGGAAAGAAAATTGTCTAACTCAGTATTTTTTCAAAAGCGTCACTCTCTTGGCCTTCTTTCAATACGGTCACAGACACCAATGGATGCTTGCTACTTTGCAAGTAGTTCTAAAATAAAATGGAAAAGCGGGACATGTTTGTAAAATCATTTAATTAGTAAGGCCAAAAAAAAAATATGTGGGTTTCCGGTTTCCCGACCCTACCTAGCTTTTGGACGTCGAAATCCCGACCCTAAACTTTTTTATTGGATCATGCTTGTAAGTGTTTCCACTTAGAGGAAAAAGTTTGTGGAAAATTGAAATTTGAGGCAATATTAGGGAAATTTATCTTTAGATGTGGAAGCACTGACTAAACAAAATGGTGTCCGCTTGTTCGGAAAATTAAAAAAAAAAGTTTAAAAAAAAAAAGTTAAAACCGACCTACCCTACCTAAGTTTTTATAAGAAGAAACCGGAAACCCACATATTTTTTTTTTGGCCTAAACAGTGTATTTCGTTTTAAAGGTGATGTAAAGTCTGTAATGTAAACAAACGCTTTGTTTACATTTTGAACTCAGTGCTACAGTTGTAAAATATGATTAGATATATATTATACTCAATTTTTAACCCTCTTCCGGTTCACTATGCTTGCAAATGAATGCAGACCAGAGATTCAATTCAAGAAAGTTCGGAAGGTGCGTAATATTAACAACATTCCAAAGGTTGCTCCCCCACTGATGGAATGTGTTGATACGCAGAATATACGCGCAGAACGAACTTTACAGCATCTTTAGTTTTACTTACATGTGCATATGTCAAGCCATTTTTACTTTCTCCTTCACTGGCACGCTTGCCAATCCAAACAAACACTTCCTTGCCAGTATCAGCAATGAATACTAAACGAAACATAAAAAAATATTTCACAATTAACGAGAAAACGTATTAACGACCACAATGGGGCTTCGGTGGCCAAGTGGATAGCGCACTTGTAGGTCGCAGGTTCGAATCTCAGTGAGAACTTCTCAATGTGACTCGAACCCAGTCCTCATGTGAAAAGAGTAAAAAGTCAACGCTCTGCCGAAAGTCGTGGGTTTTCTCCGGGCACTCCGTGTTTCCTCCCACAGGGAAAGTTGACAGGGTGGGTTAGGCACATAGGTCTGGAGGCAGATCACTAATGAGGTATGGACTAATAGCGGCAGCTGCTCAAGCGCCATTTGTAAACTCAAAGTCTACCTCGGTCTGCTTCACGTCAGTCCGGTTCTATCTATCTATTCATAATGTAACCAGTCACTGAAAAGCCCTGATATAGGGAGTGTGCTGTGAAATATCTGTATCTGTATCTAACCATCATCACCTGAGATCAGGCTCTATTTTAAAAATAATAGCCTGACACAAACCTTAATCCGATCGCTTTCCACCCACAACAAAGTTTATATTTAGTATATAATCAAAATGTCGCAGGAGAAATTTCACACAACGACAACAACAATCTAATTATAGTTGTGATCACTATAAAATATCATTAGCACCATCCAATCAAATGACAGATTAAAATATATTTTGTCTCATAGACCAATCAGATTTACAACAGAAATACGGCATGGACTTTTGTTAAGGTTTGTATCAGGCCTATTTATTTATTTGTAGGCCTGATCGCAGGTTACCATCACCACCGCAATCATCTCATCACCACCATCATCATCATCACAACCACCAACAACAACTTATCACCATCTGATATCATCTCATCACCACCATCATCACCACCACCACCACCATCGCAATCATCATCATCACCACCATCACATCACCATAATCATCATCACAACCACCAACAACAACTTATCACCATCATCATCTCATCACCACCATCACCATCATCATCATCATCATCACCACCATCACATCACCATAATCATCATCACAACCACCACCACCACCTTCACCAGCATCGTCACAATTACCATCACCAGCATTACCACCACAATCACCATCGCCTTACCGTCTTCACTCTTTAATTGGTCCTTTGAAATATTTCCTTCACTGACGACAGTCATAGCCAGACTACCACCTTCATCACTCAGCCTTTAATTGGAGAACATTTTAAACATTCAAGGCTATGAAAAATATTGGCAACTGGACCTCTTAGAAAAACAGTTTAGCATTGAGCATAATTACAGTAGCAAGAAAGTTTATTTTAGAAACGGACAACTCCTACCTCAGCAGAGTGGGATTGAATGAATCACTGTCATCCTCAGATTCGCCCTGAAAATGAAAACCAGATTTATTTTATCCTAACCAGATCCTAGAGGACCTTGCCGAAGTAGTATGTCCTTTATTGGCTTTAATACACAGGGCTTTCAAATCAAAACGGGGGACACTCCGGCGGTGTTACGAGGTTACTGCAGGCTACTTTCTTCGGGCTAATATATCTCACATTTCTCGTGGTTTGTGGCAACAAAGTACGCTGGACTTTGACATAGTCACAGTTTCCCTTTGACGAAAACTTAAGGTGTACTGCAAGTGATCTTAGTTTGCTTATCTAATTGACCAAGAAGAAACTGTACAAAAACAGGAACAGTAAGTCCAATACTGTCATAAATTATTTCCTTAGATTTAGTGAAAATATTCTTGCATTGAGCGCACCGCCTTAAAAAATTATGAAAGTCGTGATATATACCTCATCCTTGGGGGCATCACCATCTTTAAGAAGCTCATAAATGCGGTGGTCTTTTGGAGTAGTTGCTTCATCTAAATGTAGCAAGAATACCATGGTTAAAATAATACTTACCTTGTTTAAAGGCATAGTCTTTTGAATGATAAGGCGCATTTCGTCCCTTTTAACTGAAAAAACTGACTAGGAAAATCAATTAAGCATAATTCAAGATCAGCAAACTTAATGCTTTTAACATTTTAAAATATTTTTATTGTTACTGTAAAAACATCGAGTTTACTGATCTTCATATGATTATCAATTCCATTTGTAATGCAAAATGACTGAAAAACGGCAAACTTCGCAAGGCTATATTATCCGCATTTTACAACACCGAATTCGCAACGAAACTTCGGAATATTACTAATTTTGTGATGCTCTTTCAAGCTGTGATGAAATTTTTGTCCAGGCATATCTAGATCAAAATTTCACTCATAAGGGGAAAGGTCTATTGGTGGTTTAACTTGGATAATTTAAGAAATGTTTGATCATTGTGTACTCACCAAGAGCCTTCACTTTTGGTTTCCCAGATCGGTCAGACTAAATGAAAATTTCAAATGATAAACATAAAAATCTTCATACACACCAACTGCTTGAACTTTTAACATGCAGTGATTTGGAGCAAGAACTTCTGAATTGCAACTTCAAAATTTGAAGGAAAAACTCTAACGTGCATGTTCTACTCTGGGCCCAACCACTTATGGTTGACCGACATCTTTCCACAAAATTTAAAACTATGGTCAAGTAGGACACTTCATGTTCAGGCGCAGATTAGCATAAAATATTGTGCCTGCAGGAAATTTCCATCGCCAGATTGCGCTCCCAGGAATAAAATTATTTTTTCCAATCCTGCCGACCAATCAAACCGCGGAATTGGCTGAGCAATCAAACAATCTACTGGCTACATGATTGTGGCACAGAATAGGAAGTTATACAAGAAGCGTAACTCGAGCAAATATTTGTCCGCGTTTTTACAAGCGATTCGTCATCAATCACGCCATCCTGGCTAGTACAACCGGCACTTTGTACCTACCAAATCCTGATAAAACTTCCGGCTGTACTAGCCAGGATGGCGTGGCCTGACGTGAGCAAGTTAAAATTTTCGTGGACGTCAAACAATAAGGGCAAAGATTAGATATTATAAACAAAGATTAGATACTATAAAGATGCGTCACTCTGCGAAAATTATGTCCGAGATTTTTTTATAGCCGCCATTTTGCCAGTAAGTGTCAAATTCAACGCCATCAGTCTCTTAAATAGTAAAATCCAACGCCATCAGTCTCGCCGCCATTTTGGCAGTAAGTGAAAATTACGGACACGCAAACATTAGGGAAATACGTCGAGTGACACATCTTTATAGTATCTAATCTTTGCTATAAAGATGTGTCACTCTGCGAAAATTATGTCCGAGATTTTTTTATAGCCGCCATTTTGTCAGTAAGTGTCAAATTCAACGCCATCAGTCTCTTAAATAGTAAAATCCAACGCCATCAGTCTCGCCGCCATTTTGGCAGTAAGTGAAAATTACGGACACGCAAACATTAGGGAAATACGTCGAGTGACACATCTTTATCACAGAGTAGAGACATACAGAGACGTAACTAGTGTACCCACTTTTTTTGTGCGCATGCTCGGCAAGTTACTAGATGCATGCATCTGATTGGATGACGACCTGATGACGACTCACTTTAAACTTGCTGAGCATGCGCAGTTGATCATTTTTCGCCCGGTCGCCTGAAAAAAAGTAGGTACATGATAACGTAATCTTCCGCAGTGTTTACAACGATCAGTTACGTCTCTGTATGTCTTATCTACTCTGTGTCTTTATAGTATCTAATCTTTGATAAGGGAAACGACTAGAGTTACGCTTCTGGTATAACTTCCTATTCTGTGATTGTGGGAAAATATCTTAAAGTAAAAACAAACATGAAACCTTTAATTGTTGTGTATATTGCACAGCTTTGAATTTTTCATCTTTGTTGCAGGTTGCCCCATTCCACTGTAAAAGAAGTGAAATACTATTAGCAGTATTCAACCATCAGCAGAGTTCAATATAGTTGAAGCACGAAACACAGAGGCTGGATTTACACTGTAAATGTATGCTAATGAAGCGTGAGATTCTCCCTATGAGCAGTGAATACTAACAAAGTTAACAAATAAATTCATTTTACAAGTTTGTTAAAATATTTGCAACCGATCTTTATGAATTATGGGCATTTAACAATTGTATAGATTCCCATAAAGATCAGATGTTCATATTTAAACAACAGCATTTTCATTAAACTGCCACGAATTAAGCTGGAACTAGCTAAGCAGAGCTTCTACTTCAGTGGAGCAAAACTGTTTAATTCATTACCATGCAGTGACACGAAGATCAATGATTTTGAAATAGTTTATCTTTCAAGACATTTTAACTTTGTAAATATTATACTTCTAAGACATTTTATCCTGTTTGTCCATTCTTATATAATTATGTAATTTTTAGGTTTTATTTATTAACTTCTTGGCTACCTATTTTTGTTATTCTTGAGACTTTACAGGACAAACATTGATAGCAGTTTTTGTAATTAATTTTTGCATAACTGAAGTTTTTATCCTGTTAAAATATTCATTAATAATAATAATAATAACTAGTATGTAAATATTTATTAACCTGATAAATTTCCAATCCATTATCAATAATGAAAACATCTCCAGAATTTAACTTGGATTTGTATGCTGGAACCTCTTTCACAAAGACTTTGCGCTAGAAGATGAAAAATCAAATTAATTAGCAAATCTTATTCCCTGGTCAGGGGCACACATTAGGGTATTGTGGGGGTGTAAAATCGGTCCCATATTTTGTTTGAGACTGTGTCAAAAGTCAGTCATGAATTTCTGCCATAACAGGTTTTAAGCCACAAATGTCTGGTGTAAACAGGACCATTTTGTCATCCAAATTCTTCAACTTAGTGCCAGACATGGCATTTCCAAGCCTTCCCGATTGGAAGAATTGGGAATTATATAGCAGTCTGCTAAACAAAATATGAACATACGCCTTGTTTGCTGACATGGAATAGTCGAATCTCATATTCTTCAGGTTTCACATGTCTGAATCCACTGTCACAACTAAAATGAAAAGCATAGTTAACATGTACATAACATTGATTAGTCATACATAACACATACACAGACTAGTAAACCAAAGGTCGTAGGTTCGATTTCCATTGCAGTCAAGCAAACATTTCAGCTTGCCTGGTGTGGACATACTTAGAGACAACATCACAAACATATATCTTCACCTGAACAAGTAACACAAGAAATAAAAAATATTAAAATATCATGCTTGAAGACTTACCCTCCTTCTAATAAAGTGATGTGTTCAAAGTAGGATTTAAACAAAGAACTCTCATGATTCTGCACTTCACGATGCTGAACTGGCTTGTCATCCAACTGTGGAAACAACACAGGATTCATTTTTAATTTTATCAAAATTATGCCTCTAGGGTCAGCCAGCACATTTTAACTACATGACCAAGATCAATATTTTTTTTAAATGCAATACAAAGTGCATCAACGTATACGTACCAGTGTGTCAAGCTCAACCGTCTTGTATGCTGCCGTGCCATATTCATCTTGGGTTGAATTTTGTCCAATCCAGAAATGAACATCATAGAGCAATTCCTGTCAACACCAGATTTAAAATATTGACATATAATATACAAACCTTATTACTGCTTATTCATTAGATAGGAGAAATAAATGTGGGGTGGTGCTTAATGGATTGAAAGAAACATGTGCAAATAGGTTGGTGAATTCATTAACACCTAATGATGATTGGAGTATTGCAAAGTATGGTTTAACCATAGGATTCTATTCGTTTCTTGAAGCCAAATCTGACATGTGTGTCATGATTGACAGATTGAACACTCTTCATCATATGTGTGAAAAGACTTGGACTGGCCTTCAAATTTGGCTTCAATTAGCATTCCAGTTCTATTCAGTTCAGTGGGTTTAACCACAGAATAGAAAATAAGACCAGAAGCCTCACTCAGCCAAAATTATGTCCGAGATTTTTTATGCGCAGACGCGAGCCAGCAAGTGTAATCCACGCCATAAAACGCGAGCAATTACGCCATCAATTGCCATTACCAGGTAATAAAGATTGCTGTTTTAACCGTTTTGCTGACGAACGCTGACGTGATGTTCGCAGCAAGTGTCACACACGTCATCTAGCGTGCAAAATTCGTGATCCGCAAGGCGAAAATCGCGGACACGAAAATGTTAAGGAAAGGTGTACAGTGAGACTTCTGGTCCATTATATATTCTATGGTTTAACCCATTAAGTTGCATGCTGTAATGCTCTACTACTCTGCCTTAGGCCCCATTTACATGAGACCGGGACAAAGGTTTATTCCCCTTGCCAGGCAATTTTCTTTTTCAGGTGGCTTTTGTTAGCATGTGTTGTTCCAATGTCAAGATTACAGCCGAGACAGGTCTGAAATGTATTTGTGTTTACATTCATCCCGGTCTGAATTCATGCCGGTCTGAAGTCAGTCGGTTCGGTCCAGAAGGCGGAATGACTTGAGACCGGTCTGAGTTATTTTCGTCCCGGTCTCATGTAAACATCTATTATGGATAATACTATGACCGAAACGAGATGGTCCCGGTTTGACTTTGTTCCGGTCTCATGTAAACGGGGCCTAACACCTCAATGGGTTCAACAAAAGCTCAACATTGTGCATTAGGTAATTAGTGCTGTATTGCATCATTCATTTTCACAATATCTCATAATCTGTCAGCTCAATACATCTACTTACATCGCCCTCAGGTTTTTTGTATGTGTTCAGAATAATGTATGAATCGCCATTGTAGAACTTGCCATAGTCATCTTTCTGTTCGTGAGCTACCTAATAACACAAAAACAACCATTCATGCCAACTTATTATTACAACAGATTAAACAAAGAATGATTTTGTACTAATATTCACTCTAGAACCTGATAATTATGCATTATATCCCATCAATTGGCCCCTAGGAATTTGCCATAAATGGCATGTAAATTTCCCGGCTTTGAACAAAAACTACACCCATATGTGGGATGAAATTGGGGTCTTTCAATGTTGAAATTTTATTTACACTGGATAGTTCTATCACTTCTAAACTGTCCTCCCACGGTGCAAAACGAGCCATTCCACATTGATTCACTTTTTATACAGGAGGAAATTGGAATACCCTGAGAAAACCTGTGATGTTTGGTAGAGTCAAACAGGAAGAACACTTTTCAAATTCATTTCCCATCTCAAAAACCAAAATATGGATTTGCCTAAGTGCTCATTCTTTTAAAATTCTAGAACAGCCCAAACACTCTACCATATATGGTCTGATTAATAGAACTGACCAATCAGCGAGCAGCTTTGGGCAAACCCAATATTTACATAAAATTTTGTTCTTAAAAATCTTCACAACAAGAGCTTGAATGATGCTCAAAATCTTGACTATTTATGCTTTTTACTACCTTGAATTTTTTAATTCTCCATATTTGAATGCCAGGCTTCTGTCCAGCGCCCTTCCAAGCAGGCTCTGTCTCGGCTGAATCCTTTTTGACCTGCCGTAATATTGAATCACAAACCACATTAATATAACAAGTTACCTTTAAAATTTGCATTGTTTTGATTCGATAATGGCTGTTAAAAATGCAGCAATTTGGTTACGTGGTAGGCAATCTCATTTAGTTGAGAACTTTCAGGAGAGCTGCGTATGGAAAAAATTGGTTAAATAAACGGATTAAATAAGCACTTTATCACCATTTTTTATGCCAAAGTTGAAAATGTAGCAAATCACTCTTTCGAATGTTTACCCAATACAGAGTCCCCAGGATATAATACAAGCATTCACAAAATGTCTTAATTCCGCTAAGATATTTCAAAATAGTTCACTAAAATAGGTTACTAAAGTGTCTACAACCATAGGGAGGTAAATAGCGGTTTTGTTTAGCTGTTTTGAAATAAAATCGCTCCCTAGTGAGGCACCAACCGGGCACGCTACGATGTTATCAAAAATTCACTAAATTTTAGGGCGGGTTTAATAGAGGCATTAAATGCTTGAAATTATAGATATTTTACCAAACTTCGGCGAATTCTTGCTTATAACGTTAAACATCTTTCGAAGAATGCAAAGAATTCAGAATGGCTTTATAAACTCGGCGATGGAATTGATAATATACTCGGCGATGGAATTGATAAATGTACAAATTGCAACAAGGAATTTAAATACTAGAAAAGCCAGGAAAGTACACTAAATATAAGACGTTTAAAACTTGCCTTTTTCTCGGTATCGGAGCCAAAGAGAGCTAAATTTGAGTCCTTCCAGTCGTATTTTTTCGCTTTGACCAATCCTGACATGTTTTATGAGGTGTTGAATGCTTCGAAACGGTTGATTTTCTGCGGACTTTTCTGAGCGATTGCAAGCTTTTATCAGGCTTCGCAGGAGGGCGCTGTCTGGCTAACTGAGCTATATAGTACCTGGATCTATCCAGATTACACCCACTTTAAATTCCCCGCAGGAAAATGACGTCATTATCATAGCTACAACAATGCGCAACCAGTCATTCGTATTAGTGATTGTATATTTATCAATCTAGGATCTCCGTTCTCTGTCGTTTAATTAATCCATTAGAAAGCAAAGTGAACAATGGTCTCTTTATAAAGATTATGATTTATGACTCTAGTTGTTATTTTGACTAAAGATTTATATAAGACTTTAAGCTTCAAATCTTTCTATTAAATTTTTTATTAGTATACTAAATGACCTCAACAAACGTATTTTTAAATCATACAGAAAACCAAATGCCATCACTCATTTAGCTATTTCATAAATAACATTTAAATGGTTTTAGACGCGTAACGGCAGCCTTTAAAATGAGGTAGAAAGTATGGAAATTAACATAATTTTTTACATATTTTCATGTCATTTTACATGCGCCAAATTTTGAGAGATGATCAACAATTGACGTTCAAATTGAGGAAGCACATAAGTGGATTTGTCCACTCCCTCGTTACGAAGTAACACTCTAAAACGCGTGGGAAAATCATTTCTCTTTCCTTTTATAGTTATAGACGTTCACTAGCTTGTAATAATGATATAGTAAACACATTGTAAAAACCTCACTATATATTCTATAAAAGTACGAGTCGAAAGTTGGCAAGAATATTTCAGTACTTATAGTCATAGAGATGGAATATAATTTATCCAGAATTAGTTAGATTTTCAAGTACATTTATCTCCTAAAGAGGGTTTTTTGTAATAAAGATATATTTCATTTTGTTTACACTAGACTATATACAGGCTTCCTATAATGCTAATAAAGTTTTGACCATAAAAAATGGCTTCATCTTCAACTAACTACATTTAATCCCATTCCACAATTATATTACACTACTCTAGTTATATTTTATTTTCTCAACAGATACTTCCCCAATTTCCTGGCTGGCAATGAAAAAAAAACTACATGTGGTTACATCACGGCATTTTTTAACTATAACTACTGGGGCATTTACCCCAGTAGGCCATTTACCCAGGGACGCCGGAACTGAACTGGGGGGGGGGGGCAGGAGGGGCAGCCGCCCCCGTTGCCCTTTACAAGGAGGGGCAAGGGGGGGGGGCAAAGGTGCCCTTTCAATTTAAAGGATTGCCTTAGCGAATTGTCAGAAATGTTAGTGCAATTCGTTTACAAATTCGCTTCAGAAAACGCAAGAAATGCAGTCATCGAGCTTCAAGAACAGCACAATCGCCTGGCGGAGAACCCTCTCACACGTCCCTGCATTTACCCCCAGTAGGCCCTTTGCTTGCCCCAGTAGTGAAGCATGATTTTCAGATGAGCTGGGCCCTTTTGATCATTAGTATAAAGTCAACCTTGTTGGGAAAGTTGCATCTGCCTGCTTTCTCATACCCTCTCACATTTTCGACATTCTCTCTTACAAAAGTCAGCAAAGGCGGCGCTAAAAGGGGGTTGTGGGTGTGGAACACCCCCAATTGTCAGGTAGTAGGCAAATTATCTAATCCCAGTTGGATAGGAAGGAAAGAAACTAAAACATTTCATTGACACTGATAAAATTAAAATCTAATAATTGTAGCTAAAATTACGGAAAAATTAAACAAACAATGGTACGTTAACGTGATGTTGAGCCGTGAAACACCCCCTTCCAGCTCGCTCGCCAACTATTTTGGGAAAAGAAATACCAATTAGCGTTTGAAATTAGTAGGCAAAAATTTCACTACACCCTCCCCTATTCAAATAGCGCTAGCACTGCTCCTGGTCACAGGATGATTTCTATGTACGCATAATTGTGTGGGGAAAAGGCCCTCATTGAGACTTAGCGTCTTAGCCCCAGTAGTTGTAATTTCTTAAAAAATGCCCTGGCGTTACATATAGTGATTACACACATTCTCGTACCAAGAGCCCTTCTTACGCGCGGTGCGACGAGGGGTTCTGGCCAAATCCATATTCCGAACTGGCATCTGATTGGCTAGTTCTAACACCGGACATTGTTTTCTTACCATGTTTTTATGGTATCCGGTTATGGATTTGGCCAGAGCCCCTCGTCGCACCGCGCATAAGAAAGGCTCTGGGTACGAGAATGTGATTACACAATGATTACACAGATGGCCTCGATTTCGAGCTATTGTTTTGTGTGCAGTGTAGGAGATTGGGGGAGTGCCTATTGTGATCTAAAATAGTACTAAATTGTCCTAGGCTAAGGTATAATACAAAGTTGGTATTTTTTGACGCAGTTTACGATTCTAAATTTACTTGATCTTACATTATCATGTATTCTATGTAATCTAGAGCTTGAAATGTCCCCAGTAACAAATACGTGACTACCATCGTTGATGGCTCTGGGTACGAGATTGGATCCGAGCCTGCATTCCTCGGGAAGGAACGTGGGTCTCTGGGATAATCCGTTTCACAGGGAGGAATCTGACTGAGTTGGCCGTTGATATGGAATGCGCAGTTCGATCTTAGCCACGATTCCTGGCTTCCGGCAACGGATTATCCCAGAGCCTCACGTTCCTTCCCGAGGATCGCAGGCTCGGGGAACGCGATTGTCCTGGGCTCATTCTCGTACCCAGAGCCCTTCTTACGCGCGTTCGACCGAGCGCGACGAGGGGCTCTGGCCAAATCCATATCAAGCTGGCATCTGATTGGCCATAGTTCTAATACCGGATATTGTTCTCTCACCATGTTTTTATGCTATCCGGTTATGGATTTGACCAGAGCCCCTCGTCGCGCTCGGTCGAACGCGCGTAAGGGCTCTGGGTACGAGAATGTCCTGGGCTTTACATCCAACTCGTTCTCAGGCCTTTCGCAGGGTCGACTGCATCTCGGCACTCTCACCACTGTCACTTGTGAATCGTGACACAGGTAACCAAGGACAAAACCAAGACCTCAACAATTGCTTGAAGCCAGCACGAAAATTATCATTAAATATCCCGTATATTGCTGGGTTAACAGCCGAGTTCGCGTGAGATAAAAAGAAACCAATGAAAGAGAGAGACGGCGAAACTCCACACTTTGGCTCAGCAAAAAACATCACGAATTGTGTCACAAATATCGGCAACCAACATACCGCAAAAATGACGACAATTATTACCAGCATTTTTATAACCTTGGCAGCTTTTGACCTGTCCTTTCGCGCCTTAGCCGCATCACTGCCTGGAGTCTTATGCCGCCACAGGAAATGACTTATAGCAGTGTACAGAATGGCGATTACCAATAAAGGGAACATGTACATGGAGACAAAAAGGATAACAGTGTATATTTTAGGCGATGACTCATTGTCAAAGAGTGGTTCCCAGTCTTCTATGCAGGAAGTTTGGTTCGCCGCCACACTGATCTTCATCGCATATAAAGTGGGGGACTGGAGGAGAACGGCCAAAAACCAACATAAGCCAATCATGATGTTACAACGGCGTTGGTCTATGTATCTCTTGTAAGGGAATAGGATTGCACAGAATCTGTCGATAGCAATGCATGCCATTGTAAATACGGAGCATGATACTGAAATGCCTAAAAAATATTTCAATAATTGTTAATTATAAGACATTAAGTGACTGTATAGCATGGAGAACAGTGAGATTTTCAAACAATGAAAAGACAATGGAACATTCTGATCACGGGATCATGACTGGATGGCATGGAGAACAGTGAGATTTTCAAAACAATGAAAAGACAATGGAACATTCTGATCACTGGATCATGACTGGATGACATGGAGAACAGTGGGATTTTCAAAACAATGAAAAATGGAACAATCTGATCACTGGATCATGATTGGATGGCATGGAGAACAGTGAGATTTTCAAAACAATGGAACATTCTGATCACTGGATCAGGATTGGATGGCATGGAGAACAGTGAGATTTTCAAAACAATGAAAAGACAATGGAACAATCTGATCACTGGAAAATGACTGGATGGCATGGAGAACAGTGGGATTTTCAAAACAATGAAAAGACAATGAATGAAAAGACAATGGAACATTCTGATCACTGGATCATGACTGGATGACATGGAGAACAGTGGGATTTTCAAAACAATGAAAAGACGATGGAACATTCTGATCACTGGATCATGATTGGATGGCATGGAGAACAGTGGGATTTTCAAAACAATGAAAAGACAATGGAACAATCTGATCACTGGATCATGACTGGATGGCATGGAGAACAGTGAGATTTTCAAAACAATGATAAGACAATGGAACATTCTGATCACTGGATCATGACTGGATGACATTGAGAACAGTGGGATTTTCAAAACAATGAAAAGACGATGGAACATTCTGATCACTGTATCATGATTGGATGGCACGGAGAACAGTGGGATTTTCAAAACAATGGAACAATCTGATCACTGGATCATGATTGGATGGCATGGAGAACAGTGAGATTTTCAAAACAATGGAACATTCTGATCACTGGATCAGGATTGGATGGCATGGAGAACAGTGAGATTTTCAAAACAATGAAAAGACAATGGAACAATCTGATCACTGGAAAATGACTGGATGGCATGGAGAACAGTGGGATTTTCAAAACAATGAAAAGACAATGGAACATTCTGATCACTGGATCATGATTGGATGGCATGGAGAACAGTGGGATTTTCAAAACAATGAAAAGACAATGGAACAATCTGATCACTGGATCATGACTGGATGGCATGGAGAACAGTGAGATTTTCAAAACAATGATAAGACAATGGAACATTCTGATCACTGGATCATGACTGGATGGCATGGAGAACAGTGGGATTTTCAAAACAATGAAAAGACAATGGAACATTCTGATCACTGGATCATGACTGGATGGCATGGAGAACAGTGGGATCTGAGATTCTTTCTGAGATCTCGTCACTGGACGGAACCATTGCAAATAAGTTAAAATGGAAATTTTTTAAAAGTATTTTCAATGAGACCTACCTTGCAGGAAAACGACCAGCTTACAAGGGACCAATCCAAAAGGCCAACGACTTCCTTGGTATATTTGAAAAACCGTTACCGGCATTGCGGCCACAGTGATCAATATATCAGCTAAAGACATATTGACGATTTGAAAATTCGTGATAGTTCGCATTTTTTTGTTTTTGTAAACAACGCCAATTACAAGAACGTTCCCGAGAAACGCTATGAAGATGACGAGAGCGTATGCCAATGTTTTCGCTGCTTTTTCACCATTCGTGGCTTCTGCTAACGCAGGACAGGAACTGTTAGTCAAATTAGAAACAGTCATATTTGAAATATGAGTTTAGGCCTGGTTTTTGATGTTGATGTGTGATTGTGGCCCTAGAGAAAAAGAGAGAATGTTTCTGTTAGAGATAGGTAGAATTCAAATCAAGGCATATTTTAACATATATACTGGGGGGAGCAGTCCTCCTGTTGGCCCCCACCCATGCAAAATTTGGCCCGTCGTTCTATAGGAGCCCCTTTTCAGCTGGGGGCTCGGGAGGAAATCCCCCCCCCCCTTCTCTCTCTCTCGGTGGCCCTACACTCAGAAATTCGTTTTTCAGCATTGATTCAGCAATTAATCTTCCCGACAGCATTTTCAGTGATTTGGGTTTGCCGACTAAGACACACGCTAGTATAGACAACCTATCTAAATAAAAATCCCAACATCAAATATAAATAATCTACAGTACAACAAAATCTAGTTAAGATGCTTTCTCGCTTTCACTAATGCCGCGGCAAAGCTCGCGCAAAAACCTGTTAATAAATTACGCTGGAAAAATATTTGCGCAAGCAATTTGCGGACAGTCGCATGAAATGAAACAGTATAGTTTGAAATATATACTAACATCCTATATATATATAATATTTCACTATATATACATATATACAATGTAACAACACTTACTGATAAACAGACAGATAACTTATCAACCAAGCTCTGAACTGCGAGGGAAGCCAGAGACCGTTAACAGGAAAAGACAAATGACAAGTTGCAAGAGCAATTTACAGGCAACTTATCTATAATCATGTCTTGTGCACCTTTGCATTGTGTATATAAACTATCCATATTTGCATAAACTAACAAACTGTGTTGTTCACAGACGTTAATGAAGAGTTTCACAGCACGAGTTTAAATTGAAACTAAGTTTAAATTGGATCTGAATACAGTTGTATAATAATGTTTTCAAAATACTCTTATGTGATTGGTTGAAACGTGTTTCTTGTTTGCGCCGATCAAAGTTGTTGAGAGGCGTTGGAAATTTTCAATGTAAATTGGTTTTTCTTATTCTCAGTTTGAATTAGATCGAAATAATTATTTCTCGGGAAAGCTGTCAACGTCATTATTGAATCAATTTAGAAGACGCTTGAGTTTTGGCAAAGCTTTCCATACGTAAGCCCTGAACTTCATGAGCGCCTTTGCTGTTTAAATATTGGGTGCGCAAGTAACATTGTAGCTTGCAAATACATGTAGTTTACGTACAAATTGTACTCTTTATGAAAGACTTGGCTTTTTAAGTTTTTGTGAGATTGTCTAAGTTGAATTTTACTGAAATTTTTTACGAAATTCAGAGATGAAATGACCTCGTGGCTAATGTCCTGATTAAATGCATGCACAAATTCTTCAGATTATATTCACAGAAGTATTTAGTTAAGGCATTAAGGCAGATGCGTTAGCGCGCTGCACTTAGACTAACTTCACTGTCCTTGAAAACTCGTGTATGTAGAGTTGCCTGTTTCTCCGATTAAATATATTCTTTCCGGTTTTCCTCCCTCGCTAAAAGACAGTTTAAGATCTACAACGCGGTCAGCTCAGTGCCGTGAATAATCGAATCAAATGTTTTCCATATCTTCCCCTGGCAGCAAACCTGATGACTCATGTCTGATCATGAAGCACATGAGCTACAGTGGAAGGGTCATTTTGGGGGATAATCACAACCCACCCTCTCAACATTCCCTGCGGAGGAAACCATTGTACCCAAAGCTTTGAACATGGTGTTCCACAAACCAATGGGCATGCCTTGACACACTGTAGAATTTCGCTTGAAAACCGCATTTTATACATACAGATATACATAATTCATTGCGTCCATATTCATATTTTCATTAAGTCTTCCTTGTGTTTGGCAACAACAGTATAACAATATTACAGAGGATGGGTTATAGTATAAATAGATAAAAAAGCATTATCTCATTGTTGTAAATACGAAGTCAGTGTAAACCTTAGCAGTACGAAGCATAGAACTGAATACTATATAGAAGAAATCACACAGCTACAATAGTGACAAAGCCTTTGATTGGAGGCGTTCTGAAAGGCTGGATAGCTCTTAGCATTACGTCATAAACATGTCAAAAGAATAGAGTACGCCAACCGGATATCAAATGAGCCGTTATAGATGGCGAGTGATGGCGACAGCCGTTCTTCTTTGAAATCACGAAGGTAGAACTACTTTGGCTGCAGTTCGTGATTTCGAGGAAGAAGTGCTGACGCCATCATTCGCCATCTACAACGGCCCGAATGACTTCCGGTTGGAGGTTCGTGTTGTCAAAAACGTCACTGAGGCTTTCTATTGCTAGCCTCGACCTCGTTCTATCGTTTCACGCGCACTCCAGCAAATTCAGAAGATCTCTTTATGAAATAAGTCTGTTACTATTTTTTAATATATACTGCTCCGCAGGGTACTATTTCACGATGTCGCGATATACTGTATTATTAATAACAGCAAAATAATAAGGTAAACATGTAGGCTCACCACAATTATATTTAATTTGATCAAATTTATTAGATAGGGAAACAAAAGCACCATGAAAAGCTATTTAATTATCAAAATTTCAATTTAATAAGCATTTCATGTAATCTAGTCAACACATACGCAATAGGCCTGTTTACACTTGTAATTTTTGCTGCGATTTTTGTCTTCTGATGCAGATGAACAAGTGGATGTATTATGAATGTTTAGATGAGGGAACATACACTCAGAACATTCATAACTCATCTACCCGTTCTTATGCATCAGAAGAACAAAATCGCACTAGAAACGGGCCTCACTAGAAGTCCAGAAAGGGCCATCCCTTATTCTGTTATCGCGTCAAGTGTTGTCTGAATTTCTAGCTTACTTTAAGAGAATAGGTTGAATTATAGCATGAAAAAGTCATAAATGATCAATTTCCACCAAGTAGTTTGTTGCTTGTCTGATGTGTAGATCACCCAAAACACTATTTGATCATGGTGGGATTGGAACTCGGGTAGATTATATATACTGGATGATGTTTTTCAAGTGATGTCCACACCAGACAAGTAGAAAACTACTTGATCATGGTGGGATTTGTACTCAGGTAGATTATATATATTGAATGATGTTCTCAAGTGATGTCCACACCAGGCAAGTAGAAAACTACTTGATCATGGTGGGATTTGTACTCAGGTAGATTATATATATTGGATGATGTTCTCAAGTGATGTCCACACCAGATAAGTAGAAAACTACTTGATCATGGTGGGATTGGAACTCGGGTAGACTATATATATTGGATGATGTTCTTCAAGTGATGTCCACACCAGATAAGTAGAAAACTACTTGATCATGGTGGGATTTGTACTCAGGTAGATTATATATATTGGATGATGTTCTCAAGTGATGTCCACACCAGACAAGTAGAAAACTACTTGATCATGGTGGGATTGGAACTCGGGTAGATTATATATATTGGATGATGTTCTTCAAGTGATGTCCACACCAGATAAGTAGAAAACTACTTGATCATGGTGGGATTTGTACTCAGGTAGATTATATATCTTGGATGATCTTCCCCAAGTGATGCCCGCAACAGGCAAGTAGAAAACTACTTGATCATGGTGGGATTTGTACACAGGTAGATTATATATATTGGATGATCTTCCCCAAGTGATGCCCGCAACAGGCAAGTAGAAAACTACTTGAACATGGTGGGATTTGTACACAGGCATGGAATCTATATATTGAGTGATGTTCTCCGAGTGATGTACATGTATTCATATATAATTCACATCATTGCAAACCTCGGTACAATCAAATATAAGTTTCCAATCTGGGGTGGATATCATTTGGAAAATCTAGCCTAGCAATGCCTAGCAACACTTACCGAGTTCACAATAACACAAATGTTTGCCGACAATGCATAAATATAGATAAAGTATTTATCCTCTCCACTAAACATGTTCTATAATACACCAAGAGTTAAATGCACTCTACAATGGCTTTAAACCAACTGGCATTTCATCTTTCCAACAATTTTTGAAAGACGACGCCATGCAAAAGCTTTCTACTTGTGTTGTGTATAGTCTATAGAATATTGCGCATGCAAATTAAATAATTTAAAACGCTCATTAAGATGGTAAACCGTTAGAAAACAACATCAAAACAAAGATATATGAGAATATGAATACAATATATGCTACAATATAACAATGAGGGAAGAATACTCTGAAATATATAGACGATATTATAAAGCTTACTCGGTCAGTACGGTTGCAATTGATCAGAGATGAATTCAAAACTTAACTTCATACGATTCCGTCTTCCATCGATGTACACGATGCTTGCCACAGCAGCTTATTGTAGAATACTACCTGCACTGGATCACCACGTTTGACATATCTTTTCCAGATAGTCGAGAAGCAAACCAGGGCAGCTTATTGTGCAATACTACCTATACATTGGACCTTCTCATCTATATGCCATCAGTTGAGGTAAAAAGTGCACGGAGTTTTTGTCCTTCCCTAAATTAACGCCGGGCAATGCCTTGCGTTAATCCTAAATCCTACACGTATGTACATGTAAAGCTGATATAAAGCTGTAGTGATTTTTAAGCCCGTTAAAGAAATAATGTTTTTGCTTCGATTAAAACGTCACAATTGCAATCACTGCACTGAAGTGTTTGACTTTCCTTAGTAAAAAGTTCTAGCTTTTTGCCTCTGTAACAGTTCTAAATTTATTTTTTATTTTCTCTAAATCATTTGAGTACAAATCCCACTATGATCAAAATGTTTCCTATTTGCCTGGTGTGGACATAAAAAAAACTACATGTAATGCGTTAAATCCCTTACTTAAATCACGGCATTCAAAACTGTAGTACTATATTTATCAAATATTTTCCTACCTTTCTAAGAAAACAAAAATTCCAATCCAAAACTCAAATAAAAAATCTCTCAATGAAAAATAAAAAATCCTCAATTCTAAATAGTTATCAACCTTAAATCTATAGCGACAACTTTTCTCAAAACGCCTTTCGCATTTTCAACTCGGATTTAATAATTTAACATTCACAGTCGGTAGTTATTTGATGTAATTGTCTGCGTAAAATTGAAGCGAGATACAAGCGCATGGTGTAATTACGAACACTTATTTGCGTGATTCATAATTGAGGTATTGAGATGCGAATCAGTGATTAGCGCGATTGTTCTGACTCGTGGCGCGGTCCATTGGAAGTGTGGATGCGTGGACAATAGTTCTTAAACTCATTAGTAGTGAAGTTTGGATATGACTTCAGGGGCGCTTTCCATTTGACGGAAATTCCGGAAATCTTGCTTCAAATGGAACACGTTCATTTCTGGAATGCTGTTTCGAAAATTCCGGACAATCTCTCGAGGTTGTCCACAAATTGGAAATTCCGGAATTTTCGAAATTTTTACATTCCATTAAAACATTTCCCAACCAACGTTGCTGCTTTCCAAAAGTGTTTTGAGCAAAAACCGCCACCAAAACCAAAATGGCGGGTTCTCGACCATTTCAGTGCCTTGAGTCTGGATTAATTTCCCCGAATGCTGAAAGAAGAGATTTGAACGGCAGTGTCAAATTCTTCGAAATTAAAGAAACATCATTCCAGAAATTAGCGTGTTCCGTTTGATTTTCAAGCAAGATTTCCAGAATTTCCGTCAAATGGAAAGCTCCCAACAAGCCTCCCATTTATTTACAAGGCCTGTCACGCTGTAGCGTTCCATCCTGCCACTGGACATTCCGGAAACGCAAAATGTTTTTTTTGTTCAAATGGAAAGCGCCCAAAAGTCTTCCACTAACACTGTCGCCGGGTAGCCTCGCAGTAGCTCGGAAGAGTGATTTTCATTGGCCCGATTTGACAATTGCCTTTGTGTTCAGAACAATGAATTGCTTTGTTCTTTAGAAAACCCCCATGCAATTGGAGACGACCTTCCGAGGCACTGCGAGGCTCCCCCTGTCGCTGCATTCCATTAAGACGAAGATTTCTAAAGCGCAAATTTTATATGTGATATGATCAAATGCACTTACATTAAGTAATACGCTTACCTAATTACATACTTAGTCTAGACTATTTTATCTTTACAACAATTGCTGATATTACTTTCTTAACTGTGGTTATCCTAACGTCCTAATCCACTTTCCATCTGACAAACTCTTTTACATGAGTCGATCCGTAGCGAGAATCAAACCCACAATCTCAAGCCCTGGGCAAACTAGGAAACATTGTTTCCTGCCAATGTTTCGCGGTTTCGCCATATTTCCCAGAGTGGACAAACACTTGGAAACATTAGTGAGAAACATAGGGAAACATCAAATGTTTCTGAAATTGCTAGGAAACCTTTTTGGGTTATCGTTCCATGTTTCGCGCACCAATATAAGTTAGGGTTAGGGATTAGGGGTTAGGTTAGGGTTAGGGGTTAGGTTTAAGGTAGGGATAGGGTTAGAGTGTGTATATATGTATATGGAGGTATCCAGTTGACTTTTCAGTACACTATAATATCCATTACATAACGTTTACTATATTGGTGCGCGAAACATGGAACGATTACCCATTTTTGCAGTTTTGGGGAAGCAAATTTTGTTTCCGCAACAATGTTTCCACGGGTGGGCAAACATGGAAACATTTGAGGAAACATCGAGAATCACAAATGTTTCCACAACAATGTCCAAAGATCGTTAACCTGAGTATCAGGCCCTTATGTTTTCATTCGCCAGGTAATTGGCGGCGGCGAATGAAGGAGGGCCTGATACAATTCTTTACCGCGGCGCATGTAAAAAGCCAGATTCTGGCTTTTTCGTCTGATTGGCCGATTAGACAAACGATTTTTTAAATCTGTCATTTGATTGGCTGGTGCTAATTAGATTGTACTATTGTTGTTGATATATTTTATAACGATCACAACTACAATTATAGCCGGCCCACTAAACGGCTGAATTTAAATTAAAACTGCAGTAAAATTAGAAAATAATCGCAAATTAGCGAAATATATTGCAAATGTAGCTTATATTAAATCGCCATCAGATTGCACTATCGACTGACGTATAGTTATAAAGTATACTTAATATATATATACTTTATAATTATATGTCAGTTTGTTGATAAATACGGTATAAAGCGCCATGTATAAAAGCTCTTTAATTGTAGTCACTGAAACCTCTGCGGAGGAGAGAGCAATTGGGTGGCGATTTAATATAAGCTACATTTCCAATATATTTCACTAATTTGTGATTATTTTTGTTAATTTTATAAGTTCATTGCAGTTTTAATTTAAATTCAGCCGTTTAGTGGGCTGCCTATGCTATAATTAGATTGTTGTTGTCGTTGTGTCAAATTTAAATTTCTCCTGCGACATTTTGATTGGATACTAAATATAAACTTTGCTGTGGGCGGAAAGCGATCAGGTTAAGTTTTGTGTCAGGCTCTATTTGTAAAATAGAGCCTGATACTCAGGTTAAATAAACTGTAGCAAGTATGCTACATGATACGCTTGCTTCAGCACGTTTGATAGCTATCTATTTAATTGATTGCCCGTGAGCAGTTGAGCCGGCTGAGTTTTAGTCGGAACTATTTTCATCCCATGTTGTTAAATTGCTGAAGTGTAGCATGTGCACAACACAGACCTTTCTAGCTCGGGTTGACACGATCGCGATTTGAAGCATTTGCGGTTATTTGATTTGTGTGTTTATGTTTACATATACAGTTGAAACAAACACGCTCAACAAAGCCGTTAAAACGATTTTTTAAATGTATTTGTGATTACAGCCCGGACTGTGTCGAGTTTCAGTCTGGATCAAACCGGACTGGTATTTCAGCCCGGGATGAAGCTTGATATTAATTGTTCATAGTTGTCAACTGTCAAAACCTACAGTAGCTCATGTTTCATTCGGTGTCGGGATTTTCCGATGCGCGGAGAACGCGGTTTTCAACCAAAGTGGGGAACGCGTTTCCAAGATTCCTCTGGAACGCGTTCCAACCCCATTCCGACCGCGTTCCAACCGCGTTCCGACCGCGTTTGGAACGCGTTCGGAACGCGAACGCAGTGTTATGTTATTTCTGAGCAGTACTGTAGCAAGACAGAATTTAGAGAAAGCAAGTAAAAACAGAGGAAATGTAACGAAGAAAGAATTCAGACATGGCGCCCATTCGCCCCAGAGGAGACAGTATACCTACGCATACCGAAAGGATGGAAATTGGGGGCGAAGTGGATTGAGCCATTTGAAAATGTTTGTAGGATGGGTATTGATTACAAAATAAGGTCGAGCAAAGGTAACATTACAGTCTGTGGTTCATCATGATCAGTTAAAGCGTGCAGCTATGCACCAGCGAACGGCGGCAATGTTGTTTGCCCTGCTCCAGAACTTGGGGGTGACTAACCTGAGTATCAGGCTCTATTTTACAAATAAGAGCCTGACACAAACCTTAATCCAATCGATTTCCGCCCACAGCAAAGTTTATATTTAGTATCCAATCAAAATGTCGCAGGAGAAATTTAAATTTCATACAACGACAATAACAATCTAATTATAGTTGTGATATCAACGACAATAGTATAATCTAATTAGCACTAACCAATCAAATTACAGATTAAAAAATCTTTTGTCTAATAGACCAATCAGATTTACAATCGTAATACGGTTGTAATGGCATGGACTTTTGTTAAGGTTTGTATCAGGCCTATTTATTTATTAATAGGCCTGATCGCAGGTTAGGGGGTGACAGGGTGGTTTACACTGTCCCCACAGACAACGTTCAACCTATTTGCGACAATGCTCCACATATCCCACGGGTTAGGCCTAGGAATCACGGGGAAAATGTTCATCCACCTGATCGCTACGGCTTTGCTGCGTAGTAATACTCTCAGATCGGAAACACAATTGTAAATGCAATTCTTGTGGTCAAGAATATTATTGTTGAGGGATGGTATAACATGATACTGTAAATAACGTAATGTAAAACTGGCATGTTTTATGAAATGTAAGCAGAGAGAGCGTGCACCCTGAGAGAAAAGGTTGCACATGCATGTAAGAAATTATAAAATAAACTATTAACACCGAGTGTGTTTTTTCGGCGCCTCGCTACGTTACAATTGAACAGTTTTGATGTATAATGCCGTCTAAAACATCTGTTCCAAAAACTCTGTATCACGTTCAACTCAGTGTTACAAACTCCATAAACCGGCAGGACATAGGTTAGCTTCGATAATACGACAAATTTAAAAAGTAAGTCAATGTCTTCCTGATTGTATCCTTCTTTTCTCAAGCCTCGAATCATTCGAATTAATTATGTATGAAATAATTTTCTAAGTTAAGATTATGGGCATCCTTTCGATGTGTAAACATGTCCATTTTTCTCCACCAGGCCCAAGACCCTTTACATCCACTTTCCAGTGCCATACGATTTTCCAGAATTACCCTGCCAATCCGTTCTGTTAAAAGTGTTACTGAATCTCCCTCCACACCCTGTGCTACCAATCTTGCTCGTTTCTTCAGCAGTATCTTCACAAGTGGTGCCATCCACATTGTATCTCTAGAAGACACTCTAACAGTTTTATAGTAGGAAAACATTGCTCCATCAGGATACACAGGTTAGATTGTAATTCCTTAACCATCATATCCACATCGATGTTTGTCTTGATATGTCCCAATTAGAATCCAAGAGCCTTTGCCGAAACGAAATTTTGCGATGTTCCCTAATCATGCATCTTATATGTTAAACCTAACTGGTTTAAGTTGTAATCCTGCCAGGAGCAGAACACCTTCATGATCAGTCTTCATTTGGGAAGTAATTGCATAGCACCTATTGAATAAACTTTTATTATGTTTGTGATGTTACTGAGTGTATATCCACACTGTTAATTTCAAGGAGTTATTTTAACTCCACCATAGGAGTTAAAACTACTCAACTCGGGAGAGTAAAAATTGGGGAGTAAAATCTACTCCCAAAATAGAGTTAAAACTACTCCACTTCGGTGCGCATTCTACAATTTACTCCAGCAGGAGTCAATTTAACTTCGCTGGAGGAGTAAACTAAACTCGCTTTTAGGAGTAGAAATTATGGAGTAATTTGTACTCCTTAATTTTACTCCAGGGGTCGTTTCAACTCCCAAAAAAGAGTAAAATTGTTCTGGATCGATCTGGAGTAAATTATTACAATATATAATTAATGTGCCTGAGAATCCAAGAGTTTTCTGATGGAGGCTATACTCTATTAAAGTATTGAATACAGTCAGATGCGAAAAGCACGAAGTTCGAGATATAAAGTCTTTTTTTTTATTTTACGTTTTTGGTTACTCGAATGTTGCTAAGTCAGATTGATGCCATTGATGTATTATACTGTATATCGGCTTCCGTCGCACGCGGCGATCGAATGTAGCCAGAAATTGTCAGCGAGTCATCTATATTTTTTTATTTGCTGC